GAAGAGAAGGCAGAGCTGGTGCCCCTCTTGCTGCCTACCTGCATCTCATCAGGAGTGACTTACTGAGGTCCGAAGGAGATCACCTCTGCAGACTGGTTCCACCACTCTTCTTGAGGCAAGGGAGGGTTGTGTCTTGCCATTGGCTGCAGGGTCACGCTGGGTTTTGTTATTGAATCTTTTCTCTCGTGATATAGCAGAGTGAGTTTGTGTTCTCAGCATCATGATTTCTTTTACTTCTATAGAAAGGAACAGAAGTTGGCTCAAATAATCACCTTGGCTCTAGTAAGCATTTTTTTTCCTTAATGAAAACCCCTGAAAGAAGCTTTTACAAAGAGAGACATTGTTCTAGATTATCATAGCTGTAGTTTGAGAAGTCAAGGGTAAACTAAAGAAGAGAAAACAGAGGGGAGAGAAGAGACTACTCAGAAAAACCTCTGGAGTTACCTGTGTAAACAATATATGTCTACATACATATATTTATAAACATGTTTCTGGAACTGCATGTGTCTCACTCAGAAGCTGTGCTCCCTGGGCATGTCACACTTGCACATTCGTGTTTTATGGTTCTGCAGTGCCCAGCCTGTTGGGATCACGCCAAGCCGGGCAGTCTGGGCAAAGCATCTGCCCCAGGCCTTACCTTCTTATTGAAGGCTACAGTGCTGTAGCCTTGCTGAGGGGCTGATGTGTGCAGAGGGAAGGCCTGTGCTCTTCCCTGTTGCGCTGCTGCAGACGTGGCATCTGTGTGGAGCAGCTTCCAGTTGGACTTTGAACATTTACATAAAGTGCTCTATCGGGTACGAGTAAGGGAAGCATCCTCACCTGACCATTTTTGTGTCCTCTTACAACTGTCTTGCTGCTTGGCTGTGGGTTGCTCATTAGCAATTCTTGTATGTTAGCAGAGATAAACCTGTGTTTTATTTCTCCACGCTAATTAATCCACAAAGGCAGAAGCAGGCAGTAGGGTGAAGTGAAGTTGGCAAAGAAGCTTTATCTGCGTTAGGTGCAGACAGCAAAGTGTGTGTGCCCATTACCCAGTGACTGTACAGAGTGCTGCAGGAAGGTCTTGCTCTGCCTGGTGCTTCATGCTGTACTGCTTTTTCAGACAGGCAGTGCGGAGGTGAACTGGGAGACTACACTGGTTATATTGAATCCCCAAACTATCCAGGGGACTATCCTGCGAATGCTGAGTGCACTTGGAATATTAACCCACCGCCAAAGCGCCGTATTCTGATTGTGGTGCCAGAAATATTTCTGCCAATAGAAGATGAGTGTGGAGACTACCTGGTGATGCGCAAGAGTTGTAAGTCTGAAATATATACTGAAGCTGATGGTATCTATCTACCAAGATTAATGCTTTTATTGATTTGGCAGTTGAACATTTGGTTTTTGTTTGCTTTTTTTTGTTTTTTAATTGCCAATTACCATGAAATTTTGTCAGATAACTGGCAACTGTGTGTTTTCTTTGAAAGCGTCTTCCAATTCTGTGACCACATATGAAACCTGTCAAACCTATGAACGCCCTATAGCTTTCACTTCGAGGTCTAAGAAGCTGTGGATCCAGTTCAAGTCAAATGAAGGGAACAGTGCCAAAGGATTCCAAGTTCCCTACGTAACATATGATGGTAGGTGGATGTGAGCAGCTGACTGTGGTGTGGACTAGTGCAGCTGCAGCAGTGCGTAACTCCTTGCGGGCTGCTTGACCCTGCTAAGGGGATAGTTCAGCCCTCTTGCTAGTGTCATTATCAGAGTGCTTCTAGTCGCTGTCTTCATTTAAAACTATCTTAAGGGTTTCCGAATTGTGCCATGGTGTTAAGTACAATCATATACCCAGTCTTTTACAGACTTAAACAAGAGCTGGGATTCTGGGCTGCAGCTCATAAAGGCAAAGTGTAGAACTCAGCCTGAATGTGTTTTATGTCTTTTTAAGCCTTTCTAATTCCAGGTTGCTTCAGGGGCACAGTGTCCCTAGTTAGGGGCACTCGTAAGTGCTGCTGTGACTTACTGTGTTGCTGCTGCTGTGACTTACTGTGTTGCTGCTACCGGCTGTCACCTGGCAGCAGGTGCTCCTTTCAGCTCAGGCTGCTCGAGGCACTCGCCTACTCGGCTTTGCAGGCGGCGAGTGTTTGGAGTTCCCCTCTACAGGTCTCGGGGCTGGCAGTCAGCCCTCCTGCAGACGGTGTGCTGCTGGTGACGAGGTGTGTCATCAGGGAAAGGAGCTGCAGGAGGAGGTCGGTAGGCTGTGGAGCATCCATGAGGATGACCAGGAGACAAGGGTTATTTCCAGAGACCGTACAGCTCCAGAAGCTGCAACCACCTGCTGCAGTGGAATTTCTGGAGAGCTCTTGTGCCGTGTGAAACAGTAATGGCAACACTGTAGAAGAAGGCTGGGAACTGTTCACTTCTTATAGAAGAAAGGTTTTTCCTATTTATGAAGACTTGCAATTGAGGAACAGGTCCAGCCTCCTCCAGACTGAGGAGGAGCTGGGCATAGCTTCAAGGGAAGCAGCTGGGCTGACAGACTCTTTACCTTTTTAGAAACGGCAAGTGATTGTTGTGGGTGACTGTGCTGCAGAGGACAGAGTTTTGGGCTCCCCAATACAAGAAAGACATGGAACTACTGGAATGAACCCTGTGTAGGGCTACAAGGATGAGTAGGGCACTAGAGCATCTCTCTTATGAGGACAGGTTAAGAGAGCTGGGCCTGTTTAGCCTAAAAAAGGAGAAGACTGAGAGGAGGGTCTTTTCAGTGTATACTAATATATTAAGGAAGGGTATCAAGAGGATGGGGCCAGATTATTTTCAGTGGTGGCCAGTGATAGGACAAGAGGCAACAGGTGCAAACTGGGATATGGGAAGTTCTATCTGAATTGAATATGAGGATAAACTTTTACCATGAAGGTGGCAGAGCCTTGGAACAGGTTGCCCTCTCAGGGCAACCTCCTGAGAGGTTGTGAAGTCTCCTTCTCTGGAGATATTAAACACTCTGCCAGATATGGTCCTGTGCAATGTGCTCTAGGTGACCCTGCTTTTGCAGGGGGCTTTTGGACTACATCATCTCCAGAGGTCCTTCTAACCTCAATCATTCTGTGATTTATCCTACTCAGAGCCCATTCCCTCCCCTACTGAAACAAAGATAGGAAAGCTGCAGATTTTTTGTTAGTGGTGTTGGACTGGAGCAGGTCACATGGCTACAGTATGTGTTACAGTCTTAGGTGCCCTATGGTTTCCTTCACTTTTGACAATTGATAATGCTCGGCAGAATATACTTTATAGCCTTATAGTAAACAGTGTTTGCTCTTCTGTAAATAAAGTGCATTTGAAATACTTTAACTGCTAATACGAGAGCCAAGTACCACTGATTCTGTTGGGGGTAGAATTTACATATGTAACCAAGGGAGATATTGAATATGTAACTGAAATGAACCTGCAAATGACTGTCCTGTGCATTCTTCATAGAGGATTATCAAGAGCTAATAGAAGATATTGTTCGGGATGGTAGACTTTATGCATCTGAAAATCATCAAGAAATACTTAAGGTAAATTTCTTCCACTTGAAGTGTCGCATTTGACTGTGAACGACCCTAGTTTTTGCCAGCGAGGTTGCCTCCTGCATGGCATTAGATTTGCTCCTTGCTGCAGTAGAGAAGTTACTACTTCAGGCAAGTGCTAACTCAGCATGTGCTCTGCTTATGCAAGGCAGTCATTAACAGCCCCTTTGTCTAGGGAGATTAAAGGTGGGTCAGACCTATTAGGAACATATGTAATTCTTTATAGTAAAGATAGCCTCTTAAGTCTCTCTGTAGAAAGGAATCAGTGAAGAAACTGAAGGACATGGGATTTCATTTCATTGAGTGGAGCCTAGTGCTGCTGCTACTATAGCCTGTAGATTAGCAAAGATTTCCTCTCCCTGGGTTAGGGGACAATTGCATGGGCAAATTATGGGATGTCAGCCTTCTTTCACTGGATATTAGCCCCAGCTTTTGGAGTTTCACTGCTCTTGAAGGCAAGAGGAGGGAGAGAGTCCTGGAACCACTAATGCTCAGTGTGACACTCAACTGACTTTCTGCAAGAACTGAACATCTAACTCGCTCTAGAGATCTGGGAGCCTCTGAAACGTTACAGAACTAGTGCTTGAAAAATAAAATTATTGTAACTGAAGTGGAGTTGGTCATTTAGCTTTGTTGATACTTACCTTACCTTTTCTGTGTTATGACTGGAAAATCTGTTTTCCTTTTTCTAGGATAAGAAGCTGATAAAAGCACTGTTTGATGTATTGGCACATCCACAAAACTACTTCAAGTACACAGCCCAAGAATCAAGAGAGATGTTCCCAAGATCCTTCATACGGCTGCTGCGCTCTAAAGTTTCCAGATTTTTGAGGCCTTACAAATAGCTGGTCCTGTACTTGAAGTACTAACCACCCCTGGGCATGCACAGAGATGCTGCTTTCTGTTTTGCTCAGTGGTGTGGAGAAATTCTGGGAAAGCTTACCAGTCAGTTCTGCTCTTGGCAGAGTTTGGCTTTCCCAGTTAATATAAATATTTTCATGACCAGAATTTTGATTCCTTTTCCAGATGATACCTTTTGGGTACCCATGATACTTCATGGATGTGCATATTAGAGACTGACTATAATTTCTGTAATTGGATGGTGCCAGCAGAAGTCTGTAGAGCTCTGGTGCTTAATCAATAATTCTAAAAGCTACTGAGGACCGACTGGCGAAGCAGTGGGTGGGTTGCCATAAATGCACATTACTTTGACAAAGTGAGGTTCACATTTAGCTTCACTGAAAGTGAGGACAAGATTGATATCTCTGTGAACTTTTGTTGTGCAGAAAATTCAGAGCTAAGATGGAAATGTTTTTAATCTAAACCAGTGAGTCCAAGGATTGCACAAGATGTCATTTTCTTCTAACTATGTTGTATGTGGCATATGGAGAAATAAGTAAAGTGTTGAAATATTAGATTGAATGCTCTGGATTACACTGTGTTTCTCCATATCCACACTGATGGTACATTGGTTTAAATGGAATAACACCAGGGTAAAAGTTGTGTGTCACAGTAATGGACAACAGATCCTGACCTACTGGATACTTCCATTTTGGCCTGACTGTGAACGCTGCGATGGAGCAGATCCTCTGTGAAGTCCCAGTGCTCTTGCCCTGTGCATAGAATTGGGTCAGAATGAGGCACTGCCTCTTCAAAATACTATAAAGCTCTGTCTTCTGAGCACCTACAGCTGAACTCATGAGCCTCATTTTACATGCAGGTTTTGCATGCAGATTATGCGCTTGTACATCATGGTTTAAATCTGTATAAAGTTCTTATATGGGCCTCAGTCTTCATAGTCTTCATCTTGTCTGAGCGCCTTGCTGGAGAGAGTGGATGGGTGAAGATACTCTACCAGACTGAGGTCATAGAGCAAGTCTGGGGCAAACAGCAGTTCCTGGTTGCTTGAGCTTGGGTCCTTTTCCTCAAGTTGTTTTTGAGAGGTTATCCTGAAAGGATCTGTAAGGACAACTACATTGATCAAAATGTTTTTGTTGTCTGAGTGCTTTTCTGGCTGCTTATGTTACATCGTTGTCCTCCAGCCCTGCAAACTGTTTCTGCAGTGGGGTGCTCTCTCTGGACCTTGTGTCTGGAAGGGAGAGGGCCTCAAACTGCTTGCTTGGACTTGCAACCTGTTTCTTTCTGAACAGGGCAATGTTCTGAGTGACACAGCAGGTGTCAAACTTCCTCCACGTGCCCCTTGGAAAGGTAGCAAAATTCTGCAGTGCAGCCAGGCTGGTTGTGCCCCTTGCTAGGGCTTGGAGTGAGGGCGCTCTGGGTTTCATTGGCATGTGGTATTTAACTGGCATGTGGTATTTAACTGTTGTATGTGATTAATACCACATTTGCAGTGCTATAGATGAAACACCCATCCAGAACCAGGGTCTGAGTCTGTTCCATACATTGCTAGAAGCAAATAAATGCCGCCAAAAGCAGCCTTGCTGCGGTGTCACCTTATGGGAGCCTTGTTCTGCAGCATGCAAGACACTGTAGCTTGTCATACGGGGAGGGGCAGCTCTCAGGCCACCGCTGGGCAGGAGACCCCTTGAGACATGTGCTGGGTTCCCCACGGTGCTGCCATGGGCTGGCTGGAGGAGAGGAGCTGCTAATGCTGCTGCCCAGAGGAGAAATGTGTCCAGGCTGGCTGTGCTGGGGCTTCTGCTTGGGCTCAGGCACTGCCTGTGGCTTGGGCATGCGATGCCTGTGGTGAACATGTCGCTGGGCCGAGCTCCCAGCGACGCCTTGAGGTGGCCGCCCTAGCGTCTGCGGGGCCCAGCCCCAGTGCTGCCTGTGGCTCTGCGGCGGGGGCACCGTGGGCGGGGGGTGGGGGGGCCACACTGTGCGGTGCTGCAGCTCCTCAGTGTGGGCGAAGGCCGCAGCGGTCGCCCCGAGGGCCTGGTGCTGCACGATCACACGAGCCGTGTGCGAGCACTGTGGTGGCTTGGCTGCGCTCCCCAGGCAAGCGAGCCGCTTCCCACTGAATTCCCTCATGCCAAGGCTTCAGCTTTGGGCAGTTCCTTCTTGCGTTGCTGAATATCACACAGACTGGAGTGATGGGTTTCAACAAATGTTTGAGAAGAAAGTTGTGCAACGTCCAAACGTTGAGAGCACAGGATTTGCTGTGCTGCACCTGGGCACGCTGGTGTCCCAGCTCTGCGCGACTCCTCTGGGACCAGCATCTCACCCTAGGCCTGCCCACGGGATCTCAGCTTTGCCTCTCTCTTGCCCCATGGCATGAGGCAGTTTTGCTGTCGTTTGAGCAAGTTTTGGGCCCACAGAGGGAAAGGAGTGCGTTACTGGGGTGTGTGGAGCAGAAAACCCTGCCCTTTCTCGAAGAACCCTTTACGCTCCACAGCAACTTTTTTGTTTGGGGCTTTTTTTTTGATAAAAAGTAAATGTCTTGGAAGCTCTTCTGTTACCATTAATTTGAATATTAAGAATGAAGATTCCCCTTTTACAGTAGATACTGTGTGCGCAGTCCAAAGCGAAGAGGGAATGCTGCAGTCTTCAACGCTGGAAGAAGTGGCAGCTGTGGCAGAAAGCTGTAATGCTTGGTGGTGTTCCTACATAGCAAGGGTAGTTGCTCTTCAGAAATTTGAGTTTCTCCTTTTTACATTGTTGTAGACTGATGTTGTATTTTGGCAAGAAATGATTCAAGAGCTGTTTAGCCTTATACAACAGGATTTAACTTTTGAAATAGTAATTAGCGTTAACTGGGTGACTTAATGTCGCCTATGTGAAGTACTCTTAGGGATCTTTTTGATGACTGTAAATTAATGTAAAATGTTTCAGACTTTTAATAAGAGAACTAAACCAGTGACCTTTTAGTTGCATGAGAACATTGTGTAATATGTTCAGTTGTCTTTGCTGTGCTGAATAATAGTTCTGTGTGCATATTAAGGGCTGTGCTACAAGATACCTCACATCAGGTAGTCTTAATATCCTGGGAACATCTGCCTGCCATACTATTTTGTTATATGTAATATACTGTTAGCCTGCATCTATACAGCCTGCACATGGACACTTTTTTTTTTTCTTTTTTTGTATATTTAGTGATGCACGTGTTTCTGGCCTCTGTAAGACCAACATTATCCTTATCAGTTAATGTAGTAATTGTGCTAAAAATAATTCTGATATAAAGAAGCTTGACGGGCTGTATGAAGACAGAACGAAAGAGCTAAAATAACTGTGAAGTATTTTATTACTTTCTGAACGACTCTCGGCTTGCTTTGTTCACAGTAACGGAAACTGATTTGTATTAAAATGAATGTAGTCATCCAGGTTCATTTGGAGAACTTCTGGAAGAGGCAATGGTGTAATTCGGTTGTTAGCTGACACTGGTCAGCATGAAAAGACAGCAAAGCAAATGCTGTACAGGACTTCAGAAAAGTGTAACGACTACAGGATAGTGGCAGCCCCAAACTCTGTCATTCAAATACTCTCCCTGAAGCTGTGAATGCTGCCATGTGCCAGGCTGCAGGGCACCTTCTAGGACAGGAAATATCAATTTGCAGTATCTTCAACATTTCTAGAAAAGTAGGGGCAGAAATCCTGCTTGGGACCTTTTGATGTTGTGCAACAAGAATAAGTAGGAGAGGAACACAGAGAGCAAAATCTGGCTCATTTAAATCCAAGGAATCAGAAGAGGTCTAATGTGAGTAAGCAGGAAGAATTGGTATTACAATAATCCTTGGGAACAGACTGCAAGGGCAGTGGCCCACAAATGTTTCTGAATTAAATAAACTAAAGTGTAAATGCTTTCTTATCAGGCCTGTAGGTGACATTGAGTAAATGTAATAGATGCTGAATATGAAACCTGTCACAACTGAAATGTGCAAAATACCTCCTATGTTTCCTTAATGCTGCTCCGCTTGCTCCTTGCCTATCTCTTCCAGCAGTGGCCTTGCACACCTAGGTACTTTTTAAAACTCCAGAGTCAAATCCAGACATGGTACGAGCAGGTTTGTTTCTAGGCACTGCTGAAGCTGAATCCTTTCTCTTGCAGGGCAGACTTTCACCCTGTAGCTCGGAGCTCTGCTTTCTGCAACGTGTGTCGTGCTCACCAGTGCAAAAGGCCCCTGAGCAATGATGAAGATAGTGCACCCACAGGGAGAGAAGTGGAAGGAGCTGAAGAGTGTTCAGGGCACAGGTTCCATCTGCAGGTCAGGTCATTCAGTTCCCTTCAAGTCAGTAGAAATTATGTATGACTTTCTGCATGTTACTGTTTTCTTTTAACATTTAAAGGAAATTTAATAAGATAGTTAAAAAGGAAGAAACTTTCCCGGTTTTAATAAATATTTGTTACTGCAGCTGTTGCTGTGATTAAACACATTTTGGATAGTAATAAAGTTTGTTGAGGCCCATGTAGCAAGGTCCATTTAGCACACATGAAGAAAAATAAACTGGAAAAAAGACCTTGAAATCTTTTTCCACACTGAAATGTGTGTATAAATACAGAATTCATTCAAGAAATTCCCCCATGCAGGCAAATACTAAATTTGACAGCACAACTGCAGCCTGCTTTTTTTCAATGGTAGGTTTGCTTCAGTAGGCACTGTAGACTTACAAACCTGGATTTTAATAATCTCTGAACTTTCCCATGTGTGACCATTCTGGGGATCAGGAAATGAGTGTTTCTTGGTTTTAAGGGAGAGAAGTTGCACTGGAAGCCCTGAAATGCTCTGAAGCAGTCACTCGAGACACAAGCGTGTCGGTAGTTTGGTAGTTCGAGTGTTTCATATCGGGCCCAGATCCCTACAAACATCCACGAAAAGTTAAGTACCAGGTTAGGTTTTTGCTTGACTATGCTTAGAGTAACAGTTTTATCCTCTGTGCCCTGGACGCTGTAGAGCAGTGGTGGTTGGAGTTTGTTTTCCATGCCT